CCGCCCATCACAGATGCAGCCCCATCGAGCCCATCCATGCTCCCCCTGTTGCTGCTCCATGCCCTGCCCCCCCCCCCCCCCCCCCCCCCCCCCCCCCCCCCCTCCGCGCCCGCCGCTCCCCCCCCCCCCCCCCCCCCCCCCCCCCCCACCGCCCCCCCCCCCCCCCCACCGCCCCCCCCCCCCCCCCCCCCCCCCCCCGCCCCCCCCCCCCCCCCCCCCCATGCCGCGGCTACTGGCTGCTGTTGGGCCTGCACGGCCTGGTACTTCTCCCACGGATACTTCCACTGTCCAGGCTGTTAGCAGCACCTCATGCCGGGGCGGATGCGCTGCCGCTGCAGGACCCAGACCAGCCGGTGCCAGCTCCTCTCCTGCCCCCTACCTCTACCCTAGGTAGGTACCCTGTCACTCCTTTCTCTGTGAGCCTCTGTCCCCATCACTGAGGTGAGGTGGTGAGTCTCTCCAAGTCACTACCAAGCTCTGTATCTATACCTACACGCAGTCACTTTGTTGTGTGCTTATCCACACACTCAGACAGCTCCGACGAGAGATCCATGTCATCGGCTGCTCAGCGTCCTCCCTTCCCATTTCTCTTCCATCATCCTCTGCCTCCTGTACCTTACCTCCAAATCTACTCTATTACCTCTCGCCCTCCCGCGTCTTGTGTCTCTCTTCCTAAACTACCCAGCAATTGCTCAGACAACAATCCCTTTGTCTTTGCCTACCTCAACGTACCCCATTATCTACTTCTTCTTGTCCTCTTTGCATCATCACCTCTGGCCCTTGCGCCTTATCGCCCTTGGCCCCCATTCTGACAACGCTAAATCTCCATTCTGCTCTCCAAAGTACTCACCACAACCTTTCCCCCATCATCACTCTTCTACACTTTCCCTCGCTCTCTTCAAGTCAGCATATCCCGTCTGATCTTTCTGCTGTGCCTGTTTCTTCTTCTGTGCCATCCTTAGCCTTCCCTGCCCTCTTCCCTAGGTACGAACGCATCGACAAGTATACACCGCTTTACTTGCTTGCCTGAATTACAGTCCATTCTGCTGGCCCACCCAGGTGACTCGATGACGGAAGGGTACTTGTCGACGATCACGAGGCTCAACAACCATTGAGCGGATGACACCAGCGCCGATAACCTCCGACTCGACCACCACCGCACCGCAACTCCGCACATCGCCGTCCATTCTTCTCTGAACTCCTCCGTCCTTCTTGGAATTCGGATAACCACACCAGCCGCGCATTTTGGAGCGGCTCGTTTGCGTTGCTGTTGGAGCACCTGCTTAGGAAGTCGCTTTCCCTGCTTGGCGAAAGCTTCCCCTCTGTCACCACAGCTTCTCGTTTCGACTTTCCTGCTCTGTACCGCACGCAACCGAGAGCCATGGTCCAAGGCAGCGCTTAAGGTAGCTTGTCCATTTCGCCCTCGCCCTCGTTCTACCGTTCTGCAGTCATCCAGCCCGGCTCCGTAACGCCCTTGGCCTGCTTGTGCGATATCGCTTCTCACCATTCGCCGCCCGTCTCCACGTTGGCTTTGTCGCCTTGCCCGTCGTTGCCTGCGTCGTTTGCGCGCCGTTCCAAAAGGGTATTGCAACAACTACTTTCTCTCCGCCCGCCCTACGAGTTCTCCTCCCCCGACCGGCCGATTCTCCCCTCGCTGTGCGCTCAACGACCGAGGGTATCGAGGTGTTTCACTCCCCTTTGCAGTTGTCATGAAGGATGGATGAGCAAGTTCGGTACCACCCCAACTTCGATATCGCGAATACCCTCTCCCCCGCCGCCTAGAACTTCCACGAATTCGCAACACACAGCTCGTCCTTGTCTTCCCGAAGCTTAGCCTACCACGGCGGCTTTTCAGATCAATCTTGTCCTAGACTTGCCCTTGGGGCCGCAATCTGCCAGACAAGATGCATCAGCAAGCTCGACCCGCCCCACGGGTCTCTTCCCCCGCTTCTGCGCCCCAGACGAATCCCACAAGAACGAACAACCCGAGAGAAGGAATGCTTGGTACACGCGAAAGGGCTAGCTCGGGAGCGTCTGGTCGCGATTCTGCCGCAGCGTCACCCACCATCGAGACGCCACCAGGTTCCGTTTCGGCAGATGCCGTCAAGAAGTTGGATCAGATAATTCAGGTGTGTACTACGAGACAGAGGTCAAAAGGTGCCATAGCCAAGATCTGCCACTAATTTGAGCGCAGAACTTCCACACCAAAGCCGCATCGCTGGTGTTGCAATCACGTTTGAACCTGAAGCCCATATATGCGGCTCGTGGCTCTGGGAACAAGAAGCTGAACAAATGGGTGAGTGCTGGCTCGTTTTCAACCTCTGGCATCGCTTGCAGAGCCGGGTACTGACGCCCGTGCCTCCTTAGTTTCAAATCGAGACGGAAGAATTCGACGACTTCAAAGAGGAGCTTCGTATTTGGCGTAACTGCGGTAGCTTCGAGAACAAGCCTATGCCCCTCATCATCGAAACCTATCTCGATACATCACGTTTAACCCCTAGTCAGAGCCTGGTCATTGTGGACGAAAATGGCAAAAGATGGGACGTGATGGAAGCTCTCAACTCATCCGATTCGAGCGACGACGGCCGCTCTCTGCCCACAAAGAGAAACACGGAGGTGATACTCGAAAGATGGCGCATTGAACTCAAGACATTTCCCACATCCGACCCGGACGACTTTGGCCCAATATTGCCAACCATCTACAAAAAGAGCATCGTCTTCTTTCGGTCTCTCTTCGTTGCAACCAGGATTCTTCCTGCCTGGAAGTTCTCTCAAGCATCTGCAACAAAAGGCGTCCATCCTTCGTTAGAACCCCGTTGCCGTGTCCGAACCGGCGAACTAGACACCGGCGGCATCGACCGGCTTAGGCATCCGTTGTACGATGGTCGCCCGGATGTCGTAACTGATTACGTTTTTGGCGACTTGGAGGTACCGGTTGGTCGCTTCTATGCATCAGTCACTTATAGAAATGAGTGTAACTTCAGAGTGGACGACTCAGAGGCGTTGCTAAGCTCACGATTCATGGGCGTCGATGAGAACTTCTTCAAGCCATCGCTGCCCCAGCGGACATCAAGCACCCGACGAAACGACCCCGAGGTGGGTTCTCTTCCGTCTCACAGAAGGAGTAGGACTCTTGCAGATATGCACCAGACATACGGCAGTCTCTCAACCTTTCACGGGGAGGGAGCCTTGGGCACTAGCCCTATATCAGCTCTCAAGGCTGTGAAGCCCCCTGGATCTGACACGAGCTCTCCGCCTGGGTCTGCTCCCACGAGCAATGAGCTGAACCCACCAAATTCATTACCCGTCACCGGCCTCGCAACAAGGCCCTCAATGAAGGGCTTCAGCAGCAGTGGCCGACGTCCGTCCGTCTCTTTCCAGCCATTCAAGGCTGGGTCACTGTCTGGATCCCCCGTGCCTCGAACTCTCGATTCCGAATCTCCCGCGTCTCCCATCTCACGCGCGGCGGCACTTAATGCTCTTACACAACCTCGCAATCGGACGTCACTGACAGCAGGAATGCCTGCCACCCTACGAGGTGGCCCTCCACCGGCCGAAACAGCCGTAGTAGGCTCGCCCCGGCCGTCTTCGACAAGTCGGTACAGCAGCAGTTTTACTCACCGCAAAGGACGGTTATCATTTGGCGGCGCTAGCAAAGCCGGCGATGATGAGCAAGGAAGCAGCGGTCGACAAAGCCTATCCTCGTCAGTGGCTCAGCCAGGATCAGGTCTCCTAGCAGAAGCGAGTGCAGGCGGCAGCTCCGGATCGCTCCAAACAGATGACGATCAGATCTCGGAATTCTTGAAGGCGCTGGATAGCAAGAAGACGCTCAAGAGCTTCGAGTCAGGCAAGAAGGGCGAGGGCGCGACGAATCGGACAGTCGCACAGCTTTCGAGGTTTCACCTCATGAAGGAGTCGAACCAGGCGCTGACAGACTCAATGACTTCGTCGATGCAAATGCAGCGCTCCTCAAGCTCATCCAGTCGGCAGCTGTCCAACGTGCCAAGCATGGCCGCGCCAGCGTCAGTATCCGTTTCCTCCTCGCCCGGAAAGCCTCTCTCTCCTCACACCCCTCATACGCCTGCTGTCCCCTCACGATTGAGCGAGAACTCGATCATCAACTACAACACAAGCCAGCCGCGAAGCGACCGCACCAATCCCAGTGCAGAGAACACACAGATGCCTAGAGAGGACACCATCACCCAGGATGGGACCACTGCCATTGACATACCCATCTCTCCCAGAATCGGCACCCACCCTAGACGGTCTAGCTCGGTGGCACAGCAGAATCGGGCCATGGCCGACGATGAAGACGGGGATCTAGCCTTCGCCGCCAATCGCAGCATCAGCTTGGGGGCAGAGGATCGCGAGCCGCCCACGCTCAGCATGCTGCTGGGAAGACAGACTGAAGCTGAGTCTGCGTCTCGCCGAGCAGCGGGCTCGCTGCAGCCGACAGCAGACATCCCGTCCTCAGGTTCGGCAGAGATGATGAGGCAGGGCTCATCAGAAGGATCCAAACCCCCAGGTGGATTGATGGCAGTCGCGCCATCCAGCTCGCCATTTGGCAGGCGTCGTTACGCTGGCATGGCATCCACGGGAGGACGAGGCCAGACGCCTCCCCAGTCCTCCAGGGGAAGCTTCACGGGGTCCATTGGACGGTACGGACGCGGCGAGAATGACTTGATGGATGAAGAGCCGCTCCTTTTCGATATGTCAGAAATGGATGCGCAATCGCGGAGAAGTCTGGAGGAGGGCCGAGGTGGTGGCAACATTGGTTCTGGATCTGGCAGTCGAGCCGACTTTGAACCTCGCGGTATCAGTCGAAGGGGATGGTGAGCAAGGTGCCCTCAGTGATGACGAGGGACGGCTTCACAAGGAGATTGCTGAAGGTAGCCAGGAAGCGCATCAGGCCCATCTATTTCACTGGGTTATACTTGGGACTGAATGACACGAGCGCTTTTTTTTTTCTTTCTGTTTTTTTTTTCATAGGCCTACAAGGCTCAGGAGGACCTGAGGACAGGGTCCGGCAGAAAGGTATCATCGAAACGGTCTTTCATTTTTACTTCTCTTCTCCCGTATTCAAGACATACATCAACGGGTTGGGGAGATGGGTTCATGGCGTTGGATGGAATCGGAATGGCCAAGACAATTCCCAGTGCCGGCAGAGACGGCGGGGAGCACCTTGGGGAACCAAGGACATAGTACAGATACGATAGAGAATGCACAAAGACTGGCATGCATATACGCATTACTTTTGGGCCCCGAGTATAAGCTATCCGCCATCGCATGAGCTCAAGCTTAGAACTTGCAAGGGCGCAGTGACGATCCAGGGGTGCTAGACGTTCCAGATGTGGCTTGACGTCGTTGCTGGTCCCGTTGGTTGGCAGCTTGTTTCCGTGTTGGGTTCCCCGCAGGCCGTGATGGTGTGGCGCACGCAAGACTGACGTGGTGTTGTATACTAAGTATTTGGTTTCATCTCTCATGATCCTGTTTTCTGTTCTTTTGATCTAGGTATTCTGACAGCTTGAAGCCTCTTGTGACGGAGAGATGTGGTCACCAAGGTATGTTGTAATCTATCTCGGGGCTACGTGGTGATTGTTGGGAAGTGAAGGGTAGCGACTGCAAGTGAAGACTTGGATGATGCATGGATGTCTTAGGTAGGAGAAGAAGAGAGATATGTAGCTATTTTAGGCAGCGGGTTTGAAGATGCTTCTTTGTAGACTAAAACGAGGCTAAGGTAAAATAAACGCAAGAAGCCGTGGACCGTGGTGGAGCAAGCAGAGGACGATGACCCGAGGAGGCAGCCGCAGGACTCTCAGGTTCAGAGACGGATCAGGATCCGTTGGAATTAATGGGAGTCGAAGAAAGTCATCGTCGCAATTGGGCAGCGAAAGAAGAGGAGCCTACGGAGCAAGGTATGGAAGGCAACAAAAGAACCAAAGGCCCACGCGGTTGGTTACGCATGCTTTTGGCCGTCTCTCCTCCACACATGTGGCGGTGCATCAATTGGCCATGGGAAATGGGTACCGTTTTGAGTGTTTCCTGCCAGACCGCGGGTGGCAGAGGAGCAAGTCCGCGTAATTCATGGGCGAAACGAGCTCAGCCCCCCCTGTTGGATTTTCCTGAGGTATACCCATGCAGTAACTTACAGAGCTAGGCTGTGATGACGAAGGGGCCTCTTTCGGGCTCTCCAAGGCGCACTTTGTTGGTGGCACCGCAGCACCGAGTGAAGTATGTCACTCTCCGACTGTAATTGTATGCATTGGGTACATCCCCCGCACATCTGGAAAGCTGGAGAAGAGCGGCTCACACTTGGGCTGTGGTGGACGGGACTAGGTAAGGTAATTAGTGGTCCGGACCTTGTGACAGCCCAAGGCGACATGGCCACCACCTTCCAGAGCCCAGGTGCCAGATGCCAGTTAGAGGTGTGCCAGGTTTCCCTGTGACCTTCTTCCCCCAAAGCCTCAAGGTAATATCCGACCTCACCTTGCCTTCCATTGCCTTCAGGTTCCATACCTTCCTTGCCTTAGCGACGGATGCAAGCTGCCGACTTTACCTTACATTAGGTATTAGTTGCTTACTTTATTTTCCACCAGAGGTAGCAGACGACGACTGCAAGATTCTGCCGGGTGTGCCTCAGCACTTACGCACTTACGTACCCGTCACTGATTACCTCAACCTTGGCGACCTTATCCATCACCTTCCTTTCCCTCGGGTTCACGCTTCGCCTCAGCACACACCTACCTTACACACTCGCGCGACATACCCACCTCATCGAGACGTCCCTCTCCCCAAACACCCACAACCTTCAACTCCGCCGACCCAGGCTCCAAGAACCTCCAACCTACGCACGATTTGGCCAACCTTCGAGTGCACGCCCTTCACTCCGTCACACTCGCCTAATTCCGTCCTCAACATTGCCAACCATCGCATTGCATTCGCGCAGCCCGACGACGACTTGCACCTCGCCTGACGTAGTCCACCGCTTTGCCCACTCCAGGCATCTTCTTGCCACAAAGCGCACCCACAATATCTCCAAACCACTCGAAACAAGACAGCTTCTTGATCTCACCCGTCACTACACAGCATCCGCAGCGGCTCACAGCTTTTGCCCAATATGTTTCGAGCTGCCGCAGCTGGTCCCTTTGACGAGGGCGTCGGTACGTGTGCAGCCTTGCGAACCAAACCCCATCGCTGGCCAACGTCGCTAACCTGCCCATCTTGCGTCATCTAGCCAAGGCCACCGACGAGAACCTGACGTCCGAAGACTGGGGAGCCATCATCGAGGTCTGCGACCGCGTAGGCAGCGATGCAAATGGTCCCAAAGAGGTTGTACAGGCAATGATCAAGCGCCTCGCCCACCGCAATGCCAATGTCCAGCTCTATACCCTCGAAGTGAGTTGCGCCCTTTCCTCCCCGGCTCGTTGCTGCCGCACCCATGCCGGTACACTGAACCTGTCGCTGACCTTGCTACTCTTCCTGCGCAATAGCTTGCGAATGCCCTCAGCCAGAACTGTGGCAAGAACATGCACCGCGAGCTCTCAAGCCGAGCCTTCACTGACGCCATGTTGAAACTCGCAAACGACCGCAATACCCATACCCAGGTCAAGGCCAAAATCCTCGAGCGCATGAAGGAGTGGTCCGACATGTTTAGCAAGGACCCCGATCTCGGCATCATGTACGACGCCTACTTCCGCCTAAAGCAGAACAACCCGACTTTGCAGGCCCCCTCGGCGCCCCAGAAGACTGGCCTGACCGACCTCGATCGCCAGAAGGAGGACGACGAGCTCCAGATGGCCTTGAAGTTATCGTTGCAAGAGGAGGAGAAGAAGAAGGCGCCTGCCGAGTCCAGCGCCGGTCCATCCTCTTCTGCCACCGCCGCTGGATCCTCGACACACGCCGCTGCACAGCCTCAAGCCCACTCTACACCAGTACCTGCTGGCACGACAGCTGCCACCGTATCAAGGGTGCGAGCATTGTACGATTTCGTTCCTTCCGAGCCGGGCGAACTCGAATTCAAGAAAGGCGATGTTATTGCAGTCCTCGAGTCGGTTTACAAGGATTGGTGGCGGGGCTCACTCAAGGGGAAGACAGGAATTTTCCCCCTCAACTATGTTGAGAAGCTCACGGATCCCACTCCTGATGAGTTGGCACGTGAGGCACAGATGGAGGCCGAGGTGTTTGCAGAGATCAAGAATGTCGAGAAGCTGCTCACACTTTTGAGCACGTCCAATACGGCGCCGAGGGAAGAGGATAACGAGGAGATATCGGTAGGTCCTACGAGTGCCACCTCAGCCCGACCCGGTACTAACGAGTCGCCAAATAGAAGCTCTACCACCAAACGTTAGCCATCAGGCCGAAGCTGATCAAGCTTATTGAGAAGTACTCCCAGAAGAAGGGTCAGAGATGCTCCACTCGCTTGTCTATGCTACTTATACTGACCAAAACATGCAGATGACTTTACACAGCTGAATGAGAAGTTCATCAAGGCTCGCCGCGACTACGAGTCTCTTTTGGAATCATCCATGTCGCATCCTCCTCAGCCTAGTTACCACCAGTATGCCATGAGACCTGGCCCCGGCGGGTACCCAGGCGGACCGGGGGCGGGCTATCCCCCTCAGGGTCCTCCTCAAGGCCCTCCCCAGGGCCCTCCCCACCAACAGCAGCAGCAGCAGGAGCAGAGATACTATACTCCAGCACCCCAAGGTGAACTACCTTGATTGCCTTCTTCCAAGCGCACCAAGTTTAACTAGTTTGTACATAGAACAACCCCAATACCCTCAGTCTACGCCCTCGCCGAATTTCCAGCGTCCGGCACAGGCAACGCCTGCTCCCTTTTACGTAGCCGGTGCAGAGGTTCCCTCAGCGCCGCATCACAACCAACCGCAACAGTATCCTCCGCGTGATCAACGTATTCCATCCACAGGCAAGGCACAGGTGCCGCCGATCAACACCTCGTCACCACCGCCGGCCAACACTTATTCCGCATATTCTGTGCCTCCCAACCAAGGAAGGCCACAGAGCACTTACGGTCCCCAGGAGTTGGCAACCTCTGTCTACGACTCGCCTATTGCTACCCATAACCCGAGCTCTGCTGCGACATATACATCCTCCGTGTATTCCCAAGACGATTACAACAACGGTAGCCCCGTCGTAGGTAATTCGACTGTTCCAGCACCTTCATCCTTCCAACCATCTGCACCACCAGTCGGGCAGCCCTCACAACCGCCTCAACAACCACCGCAACAACACCAGCAGCCACAGTACCAGAGTTATCAGCCACCAGGAGCTCAGGGGCAGGATAACTACGTCAGTGCCCCTACTCAGGCACCGCCGCCTGTGCCAACTGGAGCAGCTCCGCCTATCCCTGGTGCCGGTCGATCTGAAGTGATGACGCCACCGCCCCTGCAGCCTGGTGGTGCGGCCTACGATGCTAGAAACAGCCTTCCAAGCCAGGGACCATCACAGCCGCAGTACAGGGCGTATGTTCCTCCCGGTGGTGGTGCTGATGGACCGAGCGCACCGCCCGCTGCGGATTACTATCGGCAGAGTGGCGTCTACTAGACGCGGGGACTGGGCAGTAGCAAGCAGCCTTGATATTAAGTAGATGAGGTGGTCAGTTCGGTCGGAGGCCATCCTATTAGGCGGAGTACATTCAATATTTTTAATGACTTTTATTGACTGTGTCTGGGAGGTATTTTGGGCATTAACGGCCGCCCCTCGGCCATGCAAAGTTATGTTGTGTAGCAATCAGTCAATCGTATAGGTCGATTGAATTCAGGATGACAACTGTCAACTTTTTGGGAGTTCCAAGCCCGTCCAGAGGGCATCATACCCGGTATGGCGGGTAATTTGTCGATTGTGGGGAGGGAGGGAAACCACCGTAGTGAAAGTAGGAAATAGAGGAAGGCCGAGGGAAGGGTAAATAACACTCGAATCTGTACACTACCTTGTCTCGTGGTTGGCGTATTCTTTTGTTCTCATTGTCGAATCGCTGTTCCGGTTATGCGTTGCGAAGTAAGTGAAGCAAGGGAAGGGAGTGATTTGCATCGGTGCTTGATCAAACGTATGTCGATATTCCCTTTTGTTTCTATCATCGTATCATAAGAAGAAACAGAATCCTATAACGCCAATGGTCCTGGGCTCTGTGGATGAAGCCGCCATCGTCGCACAACTCCTAAAACGCACACTGCCTCCTTCCCGTCATAATACGCGAAACATGTTTTCCCTTCTACTCCACAACATTGCCCACCAGGACGAGACAGGATAGAAAGTGATAAAAAGGGGGTTTCTACCAACGTCGACCAAACATCTCGTGCTCAGGCTTCTTGGCCTTCTTCTTTCCCGCAACCAAGCTGGACTCGGGAGACCCTTGCCTGCTCGTTCTCGCCGAGGTGGCCTGGGAGGCCGACGGGTCAGGATAAGAATCACCAAGGCCGATGACGGGCGCTTGGGGGGCATCGCGGCGGAACAGATCCATAATTTCCTTGAAGCCGAGCTTGAAGGCGTCCTTCTTCATGCCGCCCTCGATGGCCGTCTCGGCGAGGAGTCGCTTCTTGTCCTGCAGCGCGAGAATGCGCTCCTCTACCGTGTTCTCCACGGTGAGCTTGTAGACGATGACGTCGACCGTCTGCGTGAGGCGGTGTACTCTGTCGATGGCTTGTTCCTCGACAAACTAGAAAGAGGTAGGATGATTAGCACACTGGAAGATGTATATGTCTCGAACAAAACGCTGGGGGAGACTTACAGGATTCCAGAAAGGCTCCAGGATTATGACACGAGTCGCCGCAGTCAAGTTGAGACCCAAGCTACCGCACTTGAGACTGCAGAGAAGAATACGCGTGTTCTTGTCGTTACGAAGTCGGTCCAGACTAGCCTCGCGCTCGTCGTTCTTCATGCTGCCGTCGTACCGAGTGAACTTGAGCCCATCCTTGCGGAAGAAAGGCTCAACGAGGTCCATCATGGACGTGAATTGCGAAAAGACAATGAACTTGTGCTTGCGGGCCTCCTTGTGGAGAATCTGCATCATTTCGCGAATCTTGGCCGAGGCCAGAACCTTGGATGCCTTGCTCGCAGGATCGTAATCGGTGTCCTTGTCGGAATGCAGCTCCGACTCATCTACACCAGTGTCTTCTTCCGAATCAGTTTCGGAGTCCGAAACACGCGACTGCGAAGATCTGAGCTTCTCCTCCTTGACCTGCGATGCTATCGCTCCTATTGAGAGGAGGCTGTCGTCGGAGACGTCACTCTGGTCGCCATCCTGACCGTGCTTGTCCTCGTCATCCTTCACAACAAAGCTGTCGAGCTGGCTGTCATCGTCTTCGTCTTCGGAATCGTGCTTGGAATCATTCGCACCAATCCACTCGCCACCTCCCTCGGCATTCTCATCCTCTTCGCCGCCGGCCTTGCCCATCCGCAATTGGCCCTGCTGGTCCTCGGGTACGAGCCAGCTGCCGTCTGCCTCCTCATCATCACTATCGACGACGACGTTTCTGTTTCTGGGCCTCCTGGCCTTGGGCTTGTACGGTGTGTCTTCTTCGGCATCCCCTCCTAAGGATTTCCGCACCACCTTCTTGACACTGCTCTTCTGCTTCTTTTGTTTCCTTGACTTCGGCGTCTCGTGCTCATTGAAATACGCCAGGTCTTCGCGACACTCCTGGCAGGTGTCTTTGCCGCTATTGGCTACGTCCCGCGGCAACTCACGACCGCAGACGTCGCATTGCCTTGAGACTATGCCCATTCCGCCAAACATTTCAGCAAGAGAGTCGATGTCTCCGCGCGCGGTCTTCGGGGCGGCATCAGACAACGCTTCCCTGTCCTTTTCGAGCTTGCCTTCAAGCAGCTTTGGATGGTTACAAGCCTGCCTGAGCCGCAGGAGCAGAACCAAGGCATTAGCATAGTTGATCTTTCCCTGAAGCATTTGCTCGATGCTCTTGTCGGCTCGAGCTTCCAGTCTGGTATAGAAGCGACGCTCTGCTGGGGAAAATTTTGTGGCAATTGTGACGACCTTGCGCTCCGTGACTTTGAAGCCAGTGGTGGACTTCTCGCCTTCCTTAGTTGGCTTGCCGCCAGGGTTGAGGGCACCATCTTCCTTGAGAATTTCCTTCGTGCGTCGTTTCATGAAGCATCGCAGAAGACTGTGAAGCCGGCCGATTGCCACATGGCCCTGGCCATTCTTCAGAGGCTTCTCGATCTGCTCTTTCCATTCCTTGAGATCATCGTACGGCTTGATACGGAGGAACTTGATGAGGGACTGCAGCTCCTCCAGATTGTTCTGCATCGGGGTTCCTGACAGGCACCATCGATACTCTGAACGCAGAGCGTAACAGGCTTTTGTCGACTTGGCGTTGCGGTTCTTGATTGTATGTGCCTCGTCGAGCACAACTCGCCACCAATGGAGGCCGAAAGCGCCTGCTTTGACACCCTTCTCATCTTCTGAGGAGTGACCCCATTCAGAAACCAATACTTGATAGGTTGTAACTACGACGTCGTACAATGCGAGGTCCTTGAAATTCTTCGTGCGTTGAGGTCCATGATGAACACAAACCTTGAGCCCGTGCGACTTGGCCACTTTCTCTTTGATCTCCGCCTCCCACTGCCTGATCAAGGCAAGAGGCGCGACCACGAGCGTTGTCTTCTCGATACCGCTGAAGTGCTTCTTCCAGCCCGCTTCATCCTTGTTGGGTTTTTGGTTGCTGAGTATCAAGGAAATGGTCTGAAGAGTCTTGCCAAGACCCATGTCGTCCGCCAAAATGCCACCCTTAGGTACCTTGCCCTTCTTCACTGGGCCGAGTTCGCGACCTCGCATCCACTCCACACCTTCAACCTGGTGAGGCAGAAGCTTCACTTTGAGGCCCTCCACGGTACCGTCATTCACGGCTTCGCCTTTCTCCTTTTCTTCGCCCTCATCCCCTGATTCCATTCCGCCCTCCAGTAAAGCCTTCAGATCGGACGACGCCTTCGCAGGGTCTGTCCAGAACTCGTTTTCTCCAAAGGTTGTGGTGGGCCTAAAGGTCGAAGGGTTGGCATCGGGGCCTATGGAGCTATACAGTGTGGGTGGCTCGGGTTTCCTGTCTTGGTAGAGAGGGACTGATGGAACAGCCATCTGCTGAGGTCGGTGATGCTCGGGGCGTGATCTCCTTTCGTTGAAGATACCTGTTGCCTTCTGCTTAAGAGAGGACAGAATCTTGGTAGGATGACCAAAAACAGGCTGTGACGACGAAGAATGAAATGGATCATGACGTTTGACATCCGAGAAGAATGACTCCAACGCATCGGAGTGCAGTATTGACTGCTCGTGTTGCGAGCTTGGTTCGCTCGCCTTCGGAGCTGGTCGAGGAGGCGGCTTGAAGTCGTTGCGGGATATTTCGACCAGATCAGGACTCGTTTGGCGATAGGCTGGCGGGTTGCGCCTCGCAGACGAATTCGGGATCGCTGCGGATGCTTTCGACTTCGGTGTTGTTGACAAGCGCATGGAACCGACTTGGGCGGCAAGGTCGTCAGGGTCGAATGAAGCTGAGTCCCGACTTTCAGCTCGTGAAAGCAAGTGTGCGGCACCACGGGATTCCTTACTCGGGTTGCTCGTCTTTGGAAGCTCGCGGCTAGTTGATGATTGCGAATCGTCGTTAGGATTGACCGGGCGCAAAGGGCCTCTGGCCGGATTCCTTTGGTTAACCATGACTGTGTAGCGCAGCTGCGGGCTGTCTTCGTGAATATTGTCGGAATGCGGTTTTTGTCTGCAATGAGATGGGGGAAGGTCGGAGGATCTCTCAGAGGAAATTGTGTTTCTAGGCTGGAAGGAGAAATGGGCGCCTGGTTTTCTGGAGTTTCGGCGTAAAGGTGTCAGTTGGATGTTGGACTCTTGGAGGGGTAAATCCAGAGAGAAAAACAGGAAAGAAGGGGGGAGAAAAACAAGCGAATGTGGGCTTTACCAACTTCATAGAAATTTCATGAGAGGGATCGATATAGTGCCAGGACTCTTAGTAGACTAGGTGGTACTCGCCCCCTTTGTAGTAGAATGGCTGATCGCGTCCAGGAAGCTCGAAATGTGTAAATGGATGCGATTGCTGGGGAAAATGCCTAATTGTGAACGGGATGTGAAAGCCGTCGGTACCGCCTACTTAGCAATGACATAACTCTCCCCAGCAACGGGCGGGCAACGAGCGCGACACCACAATATACCTTGATTGTGGGACACCTGCTAGGGGTCTTGTGCGACAGTGCACTGCCACTATCTTAGGGACAGTGCAGAGTTCTAGCCCGCACTCCCGGCCACTTTACTTCACCGAGTCTCACCGAGACAAGTATATACCACAGTGTGCCATTACAGGCTACACCCTAGAAGGCATTGATATTCTTTCGTCTAATTTAGAAGCATTTCTATTGTCTAGATGGGGTATCAGTGTATGGATCAAAACCAACACGCTTTTTCGTCTCCGTTCGAGCCCTCAAACGCTCTTCTCCCGTGAGCCCAGTCGTCGATGATTCCTCCAAGAAGAAGTTCAGGATATGGTCGTGCATCGTGAGATGCGGTGCCTGCTGGAACTCTTGCAAACTCGTCAGTCGAATCAGCATCTCCATGAGAGACAGAGAAGTGACGACAGCATTAAATGGTGACCTCGCCGCGAACGAGTCTGAACTGTTCAGCGAATGCTTTGCCACTTCCTGCGAGAAGGGCTGCGTCGGCGTCGGCGATCTCACGCTTCTACTGAAGGGGGATGACTGCACAGATAAATTCTGGATCTGTGCCATGAGTCTCGAGTCCAGCGAAGTGCGAGAGTTCCGCAAGGCTGGTCTAGGAGACCCTCTTGCCGAAGTAGGCGTTGCCAACCTTGGTAAGCTAGGCAGCTGCTCAACAACATCTTCATCTTCCGTATCGCTGCTATCCGACTCATCCTCTTCGAAAACCTCCAGAGCGATCCATTCCGGATCTAAGTGGCTCGGGAAGCTTCTGCGAGGATGAGAAACGGGAGGCTCAGGCAATTCTTGAGGGGTGTCCAGCGCTGCGCTCTCTTCTCGAAGCTGCCTGTCAACGTCATCCTGCTCATCTATGTCTTCTGATTCACTACCGGCCATAAAAGCTGTCGGTGAGTCCGGCTCATCCTGGAAAGACATCATTTCCTCTTGAGTCTTGAGAGGTGGCTTGGCAAGAACGTCCCGTTTCAGCAACAAGACTGGATTGTTGTCGCCGTCGTCACTGCCAATGTTGAGAATTCGGCCAGTGTCGGCGTAGAAGATCCTGGATATTTGATAGATCGGTATAGACTCACGAATACCCGCCCGCACGATATCGTCATACGGAGTGTCGTCTGCTTCCAGGTCGTCATGAGCGCGCCCATCATCTAGGTCCTCAATGATTTCCAAGTGGTAAGCATACTCGTTGCGCGGGCCAAAGCCGAAAGGATTTGAACCATAAAACCTTGATTCGTCAGAGTCTTGATCTTTGGGCGCTTTCGGTCGAAAGCCTTCTTCAGAGTCGAAGACATGGTCCATAGGTGTCCGACACAGTCGTACCCTGGCTTTGTGCATGACTTCTTGCCACAATGGCTTGCGGTCCCCCTCTCCAATACCGTAAGGTTGGGCGCTTTCGCCGAAGGAGCTTTTTTGGGGTGTTTGCGGGTTTGCAGCATGCTTGCTTCCCTTGGCAGATTTTGAGGAGTGACCGAGGAACAGCATGTAGATTGACAGTGTAAAGATGGGTCCAATCTGCGCCGGATGAGTAGGATCGACGGCGAATTGACTATCACCATAGGTGAGGAACGTTCCTGCTTGCGAGAACCTCGAAGGCGATATATGGGGGGACATTGCAGAATTAAGACTCTCTCCTGACGCTGATATGGCCATATGCAGCAGGGGAATATCATTGTCCAGCTGGGCCAAGAGATCTTTCATGTCTTTGATGATGGCTTTCAGTTCTTCGAATTGCCTCTCAGAGTCGATACTTTGTCGTGAAGACCCTCGTGATGCTTCTCCAGCTTGAGCTGCTTGTTCGACCCGACGACCTAGGGCTACGATATCTCGACGAAGACTCTTGGCCAGAGGAAGGGCTGACTCCAAGAAGGCGTTTCCTCTACCTGATCTAAGAGGTAATCAGCAAACAAGTCTCGATTCTCGAGGGAATCATTGATGATGTACTTGAACTCTATGAGATCTATTGCAGGAGAGACGATCTGTCAGCGAGGTCAGCATGTATGGCCGTAAGTCAGAACCAGAAGGTGGAATCTTGCCTTGATTTTGCTGTCCAGCCTCTTCTGGAGCTTCTTGATATCTGAACGGACAGTTCGATCATCGACAGTCTTCATGAGGCGAGAACACTGGGAGAAGGCATAGGTTGAGGTCAAGGCAATGCCTGACCTGATGGCCATGTTCATTGCCTGGGCTCCCAGCTTCGCAAGTAAGGCGTCCATGACTGTTCAGTTCCCATGCTGGTATGGAGAAGGACAGATCTTGAGTTAGGTCTCCAGCCAGCAAGATGGGTTGATGTGTAGACTGTAATACGAAAGTGAGAACAAAGAAAGAAACCCCTGCAGGTGGTGATGAATGAATTGGCCGGGATACCTGAGGCAGGTTGCCATAGGTGAATCTCAAAAAAGACGGGATCGCATCTCACAGCCTTAACCGTCAGTCCATGGAAGCCCTGTAAGGACGTTGAGGTAGCTGCACCCACTGACCGCTGTACCTTGCCAACTGGGCTGCATCGGGTAGAAGGGATCCATAACACAGTGCGAAGGCCGTCACCAGCCCCGCGCTTCTCACGTGCCCAGGCGAGGGGCAAGACTGATTTTAGCGGCACAAATTGCCCCTCATTGGCTACGTACCTCTGAGTTGCTGCCAGATGAGGACAGTGCGGTGTCCAGCCAAAAGTCGAGGCAGCAACCCCGCCAAGTGGTGGGGCCCGCACTTCAAAACGTTCGTCAGGTCTCTACGCTAGCAGACACAGAGCCGCTGCATTATATCATTGAAAAAATTGACAAGGCCAGGAAAAGCTTCTAGAAATCTGACCCGAAATTCTACCAGAGGCAGAACAGGAACTATTTCTTGGAAATTCAGTCAGGCGGCAGCCATCAACCCACAAAGTGAGTCATTCCAGCCCAACTTCAAGTCACATTCTCTGGCCCATAGATTACGTTGTTGCTCATCTTTTGCCTCCCCATTGTGTCACTCCTGTTACTGGTCTGCTGGAGCCACAGAGGTCGCCGTTCATGTCTGAGGTGCAGGAAAAATAAACCCTCCAGCCCCTCTTTAAATCTTCCTCGGGGCGCATCTCGTTAACGACCCATCCCACTTCTAGCTCATCTCTGACCGCATTCTTCCCCCTCCCCCGATTACGCTCCCCGATCGTGTACAAACGACACGACACCTCACCTCACCTCACCTCACCTCTCGACAATCCCATCCATCTGCCGCCCCGCTGCAGCCCATCACAATGTCGAACCTCAACTCGTGGGAAGACGACCCATCCGCCCAGGACGACAACCTGTCGCGCCAGGCCCAGCAGCAGCTCAATCTCAACCAGCAGAACCCTCAAGCCGGCGCCTTCCGTCCAGGCGGCTCTTCCTTCACCCCTGGAGCCTCCTCTTTCACCCCAGGAGCCCAGGCTTTCCAGCCTGGCCAGCAATACGGCGGCTATCCCCAACAGTACCAGCAATACTACGGCCAAGGTTACGGTGGTCCTGGCGCTGGTGGTGCAGGTGGCTTCCCTCAGTACGGCGGCCAGCAAGGATACAACCAATATGGCCAGGGCAACTATGGCGGTTACCCCCAACAGGGCTACCAGCAGCAGCAAGCCTACGGTATGTTTGAGACATCGACAAGTCATCTTCTCTTCTATGAGAGTTGCCTAACATAATCGCCTTCTAGGTCAAGGCTACCCCCAGTACGGCCAGCAGCAGCAACAGCAGCCCCAGGCTGCGGCACCTACCATCGCCAAGCGTCCGACTGACGCCCCGTCCTCTGGCTCCAGCACTCCTGCTCCTGCAGCCGCAGCCGCACCTCAGCCCGCAGTGAAGAGTGAGGGAGGCGCCAAGGTTTTGAGCATCGGCGGTGACGCCCCCAAGCCCAAGGCTAAGGTCCTCTCCATCGGCGGCACCGTCCCCCCCAAGGAGGAAAAGAAGAAGGAGGAGGCTCCCAAGGAGACCTCATCTGACGCCGCAGTCGAGGCCGGAGCCAAGGCAACCGCTTCCAAGGCGATCGAGAAGACGGGAGCTTCTACCACTAAGTCTGGCAAGGCCTCTCCTGCTCCTTCGTCAGGCCGTTCCAGCCCCTCTGGACCTGAGAAGAAGGGAGTCACGAGAGATGTCGATGCCGTCCAAAAGGAGCAGACTGCCGATGTCGACGAGGCGACTCTTAAGGAAATCTACGGAAAGGAGCACGTCAACATCATCTTCATCGGTCACGTCGATGCTGGAAAGTCTACCTTGGGTGGCTCTATCCTCTACAACACCGGCATGGTCGACGAGCGGACAATGGAGAAGTACAAGAAGGAGGCCAGGGATATCGGTAACCCTTCTTGGTACCTTTCATGGGTCATGGATCTGAACAAGGAGGAGCGATCACAGGGCAAGACCATTGAGGTCGGTAGGGGTTACTTCGAGACGGACGTACGACGATACAGCATTCTCGACGCCCCTGGCCACAAGACGTACGTCCCCAACATGATTGGTGGTGCCTCCCAGGCAGATGTCGGTATCCTGGTCATCTCGGCCCGTAAGGGAGAGTACGAGACCGGTTTCGAGCGTGGTGGCCAGACCCGTGAGCACGCTATGCTTGCCAAGACTCAGGGTGTCAACAAGTTGATTGTTGCCATCAACAAGATGGACGATGCCACTGTCGAATGGTCTCACGAGCGTTACACGGAGTGCACAACCAAGCTGTCCCAGTTCTTGAAGGGTACCGGCTACAACCTGAAGACGGACGTCTTCTTCATTCCTGTTGCTGCCCAGCAATCGATTAACATCAAGGAGAGAATTGCCAAGGGTATCGCCGACTGGTACGAGGGCCCTTCATTGCTCGAGTACCTCGACGGTATGAAGGCTCTTGAGCGCAAGGTCAACGCACCCTTCATGATGGCCGTTGCCGGCAAGTACCGCGATCTCGGAACCATGATCGAGGGTAAGATCGAGGCCGGTGTCATCAAGAAGGGCATGTCGCTCGTCATGATGCCCAACAAGCAAAACATTGATGTGTCTGCCGTGTACGGCGAGACTGAGGAGGAAGTGCAGGTTGCGCAGTGCGGTGACCAGGTCCGCATCCGCCTCAGGGGCATTGAAGAGGAAGACATCATGCCTGGATTCGTCCTGTGCTCGCCCAAGCGCTTGGTGCACAACGTCCAGACTTTCGAGGCCCAGATCCGCATTCTGGAGCTCAAGAGCATTTTGTCAGCAGGCTTCAACTGTGTGCTGCACGTCCACGCCGCCATTGAAGAGGTAACCTTTGCCGCGCTGCTGCACAAGCTCCAGAAGGGCACAGGCCGCAAGAGCAAGCTGCCTCCTTCGCACGCGAAGAAGGGCGACAGCATCATTGCTCGTCTGCAAGTCATTGGCGGTGCCGGGTCCGTGTGCATTGAGAAGTTCGAAGACTACCCGCAAATGGGTCGCTTCACCCTCAGAGATCAGGTTTGTTGCGCCTCGATTTCCAGATTTTCTTTACCTGACGACTAATACACGGGGAAATAGGGACAAACCATTGCCATTGGCAAGATTACGAAGCTGATTACGGATGAGACATCTTAAGTTGATACCAGATGACACGAAACCCACGGCTGTCTTCAGGCGGAGGAAGAGAGCCGAGCGCTCCTTGGATTTGGCAGGCGTAAGGAACGTTCGCAGGAACATGATGAACCTGTTCTGGGCCATGACCAATGTGCATAGAAAGCAGCGCGGAAATGTGTAAAAGAGAATATAGCGACGTCATGGGGAAAAGGGGGCGGCCATTGCCGTTTACACGAACCGGGCCGCGAAAGGCTCGGCATGATAGACCCCGTACGTGGCATTCTCGGAACAAAGAGGATTTAGGAAGGGTAGGGACGGAAAGAACGGTTCGAAAACTCAAAATCAACCTCAAACCTTGTCAAACAAGCGCATGACGATGGCTTCACGTTTTGACCCTGTGCATGTGTGTGATGTGTACGGAAGCGGTGATTATGTGCGCCTGAATCAGGATTGACGAAATCCGAGGTGACTGCATGGAACTCTTTGCACTTCCGATTGATTCCGATGATAAGGGCATTCTCGGGGGGGGCATTGGGGCAGTGATAAGATATGGCCCACCCCGCCCCCGCGGTCATCGGCAGCTCCGAGTTATTCTCGTGCTTGGAGGGGAGGATCTTTGGGCCCAGAAGCCCTCCTCGAGTCTCCACGACTTTGGGAACTTGACAATCAACATGGGTGTATGGGCAGAAAAGAAAAAAAAGAACAAGTTGGCTTTGTGGAGCCGAGATATGACGGACGGCAATCTGCTGTGGAGCAGTAGCGGAGCCGAAGGGGGTGATGCCGGCCTAACGGAGGCTTGCCAATTCCAACTGGATGCGATGGGCAGTGTTGTCACGGTGTGTAATGCGTTTTTCCCGAGCCGTCAAGTCACGTTGGAAGGCTGGAGCCCAGCCCAGCATCGTGGGGTTGGATGGGAGAGAAAAGAGCTTAGAGGTGGGAGGGAGGGAGGGAGCCTCCTCCGAAATGGCCAGGCCAGTCCACGGGGAAGAAAGTCTGGAGTCTGGAGATGCTGCAATCTCAATTCTTCTTTTTTTGGTGTCGTTCCTCCGCCCTCCTCCTCATTACCCCAGAGAATTTTTTGAAAACGTGCAAGTTCCGAGTGACCACTTACCCCATGCTTGGGAATTTAATACGGGCTGGAAAGGCTTGGCCTGGGCAAGGTGAGTCGGTGACCTCCTTTTTCTGTCCGTCACATGGCTCTGGGGAATGGAGGCTAGGTACGTAATAGTAACAACCATCAAAGCGAATGAGCAAAGTCTCGACTATTCTCGTGTAAAAAAACACACCCCTTCCTTGGTAGGCTTAGGTTAGGTACTATTCGTTTGCTCAGGGACGCCGCACAGGAAGAATATACACAAAATATGACGGAACGGCCATGGGATCAATATTCAGCCCCAGTAGGAGCCGTATTTGATTGACCGCCCCCGCCCCCTGCATCGAGTTGTGTTATAGCCCTAGACGATTGAGGAACCAGAGGCAACCTGAATACGTATTATGTGACAGTCGCACACTAATATCTCACTTTTCCCCTATCTATCGTGCCTATTTAGTTCAAAATTCGGTTCAATATGATACAATCAAGACCTGGTGAAAAAGAGAGCAAAAAGCTGGGAATTCCGAAGCAAGAGTCGGGAGAAATCGGAATGAGAAGCTGGAGGTCAGCCTTTGTGTTTCCAGAACACCTCTCATTGGTAGAG